TTGTTTTATTAGGAATTTGCTGCGAATAAACAACCTATTTACAGCTTTTAATGGAACTTGCAAATTATTACTGGATTTGCGTTCGCGTACTTTTTTGGATATTTTTTCTATGAGAGCGAATTCTCAGAAATTAAGTTACTGGGCATTGCTGGCAAGTTACTGTATAATTTGTAAACAAATACAACAAATATTAAGCATTATCTAACGAGTAAAACTAACTGCATCATTAGGTCCATTCGAAAATTAATTTTTTTAAGTTTTGATAGTCTTTTAGTAAATAAACAATTTGTACATATTTTCTGTGTCTTTTAACATAATTTTACCGTAGATGTTTTAACATATTCTTATTTCTTTGTTCAATTACTTTTAATTTTATAATATTCTAGTCGCTTAATTTTAATATTAAGTTATTTGTAACATTATGCACTTTTTCAATTGTATATTTCTGTAAAAATTTTAAAATGAGTTTGTATGAAAGCGAAAGTTTTCTGTAGTACATATAGAGAAACTGAAATTCCATGCTGAGTTTAATGTGATTTTCATATTAATTTTTATTTTTTAATACAGTACCCAGTGTTGCCAACTTTTCAGTTTCAAAAAGCACCAAACCTTGGAAAAAAGAGCGTTTTACCGCACTAAAAGCACTAAAGTTTTTTTTTTATCAAAGGATACTCTTCTTCATAACAGTTTGTGGTAAACAAAAGTAAAAAAAAATAAACAATTTTTACATGTATAAATAAATACACATTCATGCTTGCGAAACTGGTACATCTGGAGAAGGAAGAATCGAATCGCAACAAACGAAATTGAATTTTAAAGGGGAAGAGTAATACTTAATGATACCCTAAGTAGAAATGAGCGAAAAAATTTGTTGTTTTATAATATAACCTCAAATATTGCGAAAACCCGTGTTTTTACACTTAGTGGCTAGGATATCTCAAAATTCTGACGTGGTAGAGAAATTCTGCAGCTAGATTTGGATTCAGCACCGGAAAATCTACACAAAACGGTTCCACTCAGGTGGCAAAAAAAGTTAAAATTTTTCGAACTGTGTAATCAATCAATAATTAAGAAAATAAAAAAATAAATACTTAACTTCTCTGCGTGCAAGCATTTTGAACGCGAATACAATTTAACAAAAACGCAAGAACGTGGGTTTGCAACTTCATCTTTTTATCAATCATGGTTTGCANCTCTCTGCGTGCTAGCATTTTGAACGCGAATACAATTTAACAAAACCGCAAGAACGTGGGTTTGCAACTTCATCTTTTTATCAATCATGGTTTGCATATTAGTGCATTTAAATTTGTAGATTCTTGTAAATTCAGAAATTTTAGTTCAGAAAAAAGCACTAAAAAGGGCACTAGGCACTAAACCATTTTTTGGGCGTTTTAATTTTCAAAAAGCACTTAATCTAGTGCTTAAAGCACTAAGTTGGCAACTATGACAATACCTTCGACCTGAAACCAGTCGCTTAAGAAAGCATCATGAAAATGATTTGATATGAATATGCGAATGAAAACCTTCTCGAAACTTAGCAGTCAAACAGATATGAAACAGGCTTAATTTATGCGAGCTATCATTGTATCCATCGTAGTCCAATTTTTCGTGAAATCTACGAAAATGCCATTACTGATTTCGATTAGCTACGAACGTAGCGTATACTTTGACAGATTTCACTCAACTCGAACTACGATGGATTTATTCCCACTCCTTAGTATCTATGGAAATTTAACTTTTCAGGCGCCGCTCTAAAACTTACAGTCCAGTGTGAATTATGTAAATATTACAAATCGTATTTGATGTGGTGACTTTAGTATCTAATAAAAAAGTTCCTTTGATTTTATACAACTCGGTGACAGTCAGAATAACCCAGTAGATAATTTCAGCAGCTAAAAGTTCTTCCAAAAGGCTTTCTTGAGTGTCAAGAGACCTTTCACTCTGCATTCCTTTCTCTTTTTTCCTCTTTTTTTTTTTGAATGGGTTAGCACAGATTGAAGGGATGTACTGCACTTTTAGGCGGCTTGCAGGAAAGCACTTTTAGCGTAATTTTTTACTGGGAAATTCTGGCTTTGATAGTTGAAGGCTTTTGTAAGACAATTGAAAATGGTAGGCTATTCTGTCAAGAAATACTTACAAAAAATGCTCCCTTGTCAAATTTCATGCGGAAAATCTTTTTGACAGAAGGCACTTTTATGTCATTTTATTCGCACTGATTCAACAATCACAACGGCTGAACGAACAAAGCACCGAGGATCGAATCCTCGGCCAGCGGCATTTAATTTTTATTGTTCTAAAAAGAAATATATGTGCATATATATATTTTTTTATTTTATTTAATTTTTAGAAACTCATAAATATTTTATTTGTATATACTTTTTCGCTTTTGATTTAATTTTTAGATTATTATTTATAAAAAAATTTATTTAACTTAATTTTTAGAAACTGACTGTATCTATATTTCATCCTTTTCTTAATTAAACTTGTTTTCTGTTTTTCTTTAATTTTATTTTCATTTAATTTTTAAATATTTCAAAATTATTTTTATTTTTTTAATAACATTTCATTTTTAAAAACTTATTTTATTTTTAACCGACTTCAAAAATAGGAGGAGGTTATCAATTTAATTTGATTTTCTTTTAATTTTTAAATATTATTTCAAAATTATTTTTATTTTTTTAATAACATTTAATTTCGAAAAACTTATTTTATTTTTAACCAACTTCAAAAATGTATGTTACCGCATAGCTTTGGATCACGTTAACTGTTTTCTATAATTATTTTTAGTACTTCAGAGATGGTCCCATACCAATTTGGTTTAGATCCGATCATTTCATCATGAAGAAATTAACGGTACTCCCAAATTTTTATATGAGAATTTAACTCGGTTTTATTCTTTTTAGAAAGAAAAATATACATATATATATTTTTAAATTTATTTTAATTTTTAGAAACTTATCTATGTACATATATTTTTTCAGGGAGAAAACAGTTATAAGTTTTATAGCAAAAACGTTGCTCCATAACAGTTATTAGATGAGAAATATTTTTTATTTCGTCGATAAGAGTTATAACCCAACGTTTACATTTTACGTTGCCTGATAACTGTTATGCAGGAGAAATAGTTTTTCCATTGCCGATAAGAGTTATTTCCCAACGTTTATTTTTTTACGTTGCTGTACAAGAGTTATTTTACAACGTTTATTTTTTACGTTGTCTGATGAACGTTGTAAGATTAGGATATTGATGAAGATGGAGATGGAGATGGAGAATAAGATAAAGATGATGAAATAAAAGTGAGAGAGTAAAATAACTATTATCAGATAACGTCGGGCAATAACTGTTATCAAGCAACATAAAAAATAAACGTTGGGAAATAACTCTTAGCAGCAACGGAAAAAATATTTGTCATCTATTAACTGTTATGAAACAACCTTTTCGTTAAATTTCAGAATTCAGGCAACGTTTTCAATTTGTAAATTCGAGATAACAGTTATTTTTGGTCCCTGTATTTTTTCTATTGAATTGAAAAGAAAATAAGTTTTTTTTTAGTTTAATTTCTTAGGAACTTATTTTTTCTTTTTTAATTATATTTTCTTTGAGATTTTTTGAATTTCATTTAATTTTTAGAAACTTATTTTATTTTTAACCGGCTTCAATTCGCCGGAATATACATATATTTTTTTCATGTTATGCATAACCTTGGGCCACGTGAACCGATTTAGATAATTCTTTTTTTTTTATCGGAAAGCTGCTTCCTCAAGGGTGGTCTATACTATTAATTTGGTTTTGATCCGATCATGGGATCATAAAGAAATTAATGGTACTCCTGAATTTTTATATGAGAACTGAGGTCGGTTGTGTTTTTTGCTTACAAATTACTTGTTTTCTTTAACATTTTTTCTTTGCTTTTTAATTTAAATTTCTTTTAATTTGTGGATTTTATTGGTTTAAAAAGAAACATATTTTTTAATATCATTGAATTTTTAGAAACTTATTTTATTATTTTAATTTATTTTTTAATTTAATATTCTTTTGTTTTTTTAGTATTTATTGTTTTCAAAATAATAATTATTATTTAAAAAACTTATCGCTAAAAGGCAAACAGAATAACCCGGAGGCACAGCACAGCACAGGGCCCAAATCGCGGCAACCACTGCATTCGATAGCGAGTGTGCTTTTCCCATTTAAATTGCAATAATGCCCTGTGCGCAAAAGCAAACGACTATTTATCACTCCAATGTAGCTCAATTCTTCACCGCAAGAAGCCTAACCTTATTCTCCACCAACACTCGCCCTATGAATGCCGTAAATTTGAACAACTCTTATTACAGAAAAAAATCTTCAGCTACGTAGGAAAACCTCCAGCACAATTACGATCTGGATACTGTAGCGGGTGAAGGTCCTATTTATCCACAATCGACCCTGTCATAGCTAACGTACTTAACATCGCACATGTTCCGATTTAATGTTAATTTTTGTTATTATGCGCTAAAAAAAAATCACAGATCTTATGTTTACCTCCCAGCAAACGCGGAAGCAAAATTTTGTTGTCATTTGGTAAACAAAACTTAGAAACAGTGCTTAAAAAATAGTGTTTTTGCTGGCTCGTCAAAAGTGTGTATGACTTCCCCAATTTCGCATAAAATGAAATTTCAAACATTCGCTTTCATAGCAAACTCTGTAAAATTAGTGTAATCAGAATGTGTATTATTTGTAAATATCGATTTTATTAGTCTATAATTTTTGTTTTGTGCCGTTTTTCATCAAACAATCATGCTTACTTTCTGACCCGAAAATATTTCCAACATTGTTCCCAACTTACATATGTATGTATTTCGTCCACAGTTTTACTATTCACAAGCAGTAAATTATAATTTTTTCACTAAAAGTACAACACGGTATACCAACAAAAAAAAATACGATCCCTCTATTCACACACGCCTAATCAAATTTTCTTTATTTCTCTCTTGCCATCCAATTTCTTAAAAAAAAAACAGCTGGAACGTTCCGCTAGCTTGGTTCAGGATGCCGAAAGTGGTGTTGTACGCAAGATACCAAAGAAGAGTGCAACCCATATTACCATGCGCATTTTGATGCAGGCCTTTACGATGACCTTCCTGGCCGAATGGGGCGATCGTTCGCAACTAACCACCATTATTTTGGCCGCCAGCAAGGTGAGTGAATATGATTTTTTTTTTTTTGTTGAATTTTATATTAATTTTTCTATTTGTGATTGCTTGCAGAATGTTTATGGCGTCATTACCGGCGGTATTATTGGCCACTCCATCTGCACCGGTTTGGCTGTAATCGGTGGACGTATGGTGGCCGCTAAAATTTCTGTGCGCACTGTTACAATACTCGGTGGCATTGTATTTATAGGGTTTGCAGTGTACGCTTTGATTGTAAAACCAGACGATATTTAAAGTGCAACTTATACAAAAAAAAAAAAAAATGGAAATTCATGTGCGAAATGACGAGGATAAACGCAACGGAAATATGCAGCATAAAAAATAATTTACTTTAGTTTCAAAATAACACACCAATTCTATATTTTTTACAAAGTAAAGTGCTCAAAGTGTTTTAACAGTTTTCATTTATGTTTTTTTTGTTTCAAATTTATTTAGATAATTTTATAAGATACCGAACTTTAACAAGTAAAGTGCCTTCCTTTTGTCATTTAGAAAATTATTTATTCAAAGAGTTCACAAAAACTGCAGAAAAATGTGCTAAAGCACTATGCAACCATGACATTTTTAGTTGGTTTTTAACATAAAATTTGGCGCGCATTAATTTTTCGAAATTCGTTTGATTTGTAATTCGTTTCGAATTGCTGCATAGCTCTTTCTTATGATGCACTTAAATATACATTTATAAGTTGTTACTATTTGCCAAAATTACTTAATGTAAAACAGTCTGTGTTGCTTACTCTTACAATACATGTTGTTTAAATAAGCTCAGCGTGTGTAACAAAAGTTATATAATTAAAAAAAAAAAGAAAAAATAATCACTGACTGTATAAGCAATCAAATCCTACCTACTACTGAAATGTTTTGTAAATCCGCTCGAAGATGCAATTGACAAAATTGCCTGCATTGATGTAAATTAAAACGAATAAGAAAAAAAGCTACCAAAAATAAAAGCTTGTTTAGTGAGTGTATTGTATTTAATATGTAAAAAGTGAGAAAAGTAAAAGTGGAGCATCATACAAAAACAAAAATATACTAGTAAAATAAACTCAGCAAATTTTAAGCAAAACGTAAAAGACTTGTATTTTCTTTCCTTTTTGTCATAAAAGCGTTTTTTTTTATATTTAAATTTAACAACTTAAAAATCTATGCCAAATTATATTAGATCGATATAGTAGTTTAGTACATACATATAGTATATTAAATAATGTTCATTTTTCTTTTATTTTTTCATAATTTTTAATGTAAAGTTATAAAAAATAATATTTATAATTTAAAATTTGCTTCAACTTAGCACCGCCATTTACTTCTGTGTCATTGGATCGCGATAGATGCCAGTGAATAATATCGCCTTGGCGCTGTAGTCATAAATAAGGAACAAGAATGGATGATTGCACTCGAATTTAGTTGGTTCGAGCGGACGTGCTGAACGGAAACTGAAAAGCACTGTGGCCGCTGAGGCGGTGCTGCCCTCTTCGTCCACCTTTATTTTGGCCACATGTTTAGCGTCACCGATTGGCAGGCTATTGGCCGAGAAATCGCTTAGATCGGCTTCCTTTTCGAATAGAGAATTGATGCCAACTTCGCGGAGAATCTGTGAAGTATAGAGAGGAGAGTGGAAATATACGATTATTAATACATATGTATTTACATAATTACATTATTTTTAGTTTTTATTCAAAAAAAAAAAAAAAAGAGTTTTTAATACTAAAATAATTGCATAAAGAGGTTGTACGGTTACAGCCTCAGAATGTGATTTCTATTCACTGCATGAACTCAATATCGGACTCACATTAATTTTGTCCTAAGCGCATGATAAATGACCTAAATACGATGTAAACCCCGTTTTTTCGATGTACTTAACCGACATGAAGCGTAAGGTGCAATTTAAAATCCTTTGAAAAATCTTTTTAGGCCAAAAACTGTAATGCAATACGAAAGGGCAATGCGATGCGATAGCCAAATACGCCGTAAAAAATACGCCTATCGTATCGCATTTCTCTTTCGCATCGCGTTATATGAGTAGCCCCCCTGAACTTAATTAATTGTGAAAATTATTCAGTGTTTTTTTTTTTTTAATTTTCGATGTAGATTAACTCGGAAATAGAGCTCTCGATCGCTTAGTTCGATTTTTGATGAGCAAGTCAAATACTTCTTGTTGTTCGCTTAGGGACTTTGGAGGCATTCGCCACCTAAAACATTCATTTCCTAGAACAGCCGCTTCCTCCGGAATGTTCAGAAGGATTTCGACTAGACGTCCGGATAGGATGAAGCTTGCTGCTGCAGCAGTGATTAACTTTGCGGAACCGACGTTGGCCTGGTGTACGCTTGTGTGTGTCGGAAGGACGGCGAACGTACTCTCGGTAATTCTGCGAAGCCGTCCCAATCAGCTTTGTTGAAGTTGTTATACGGACGATGGTCTGCGCTAGTCATTGTTAAGTCAGGCGAACTGCTACAACTACCCATTGTCCTTGGTGAGATGTCGTCGTTCATCGAGCAGAATGTCGAAGCGTCTATCTGCTCCATTAATAGAATTCCCTTGCGATCATTTGACAGGCTTAAGTTCCAAATATATTTCAAGCTCGACATCGTCTAGGCGGATTGATTGGGTTCGCCGACCTAAATAACAGTCATGGTCGGGGAAAATCGCGAGTCATTCCGATGCGTAGAACCGGTCGAACTAATCGGGGTACTAAATTCTGCTTGCAATGATGGTCTTGGGAGCTCATCCCCTTTAAGATTTTGGAAGGATATAGGAAACCGCTTTAGTGGACAGCAGAGTTCCCAGATCTTAGGACGTCAAGCAAACAACTCAATCAATTGATCCCATGGAACTATATTATGCTCGCATAAGGAACTTTAAAACAAGGCTAGGAATCTGTATGTCTTAAATTAAGTAAGCTAAGAAGCATTATTGGCGAGCGTTTGACGAAAGCCGTAGAAGGCCGGATCTAAACGCGTTTTCTCGAGGACCGCTCCTATTCTTTGGAATATTGGGGAGACGAGACGGAGGCGAGGACGGCGAAAGCTCCTACATCTCTATTAAGAATTTCAGGCCAATCAGGGGAGGCAAGCCACAACTAAGTTTTGTAATGAAGCAAAGGGTTGGTTTTGGGGCTAGGAAGAAACTTACTCCCTTCCAAATCAGTATTTTGTGTACAAAGATTATAATAACGTACGTAAATCTAAATATCAATTAGAACAAGAAAACGGAGTCACACTGCTCTGATTTAAACGCAATTCTTCTATACAAGAGCGTAATGGAATTATATTTCAAGTTTTCTCATTGACATATCGATACCTGACCTGACCTGAAGATCGACCTTTCTCTTTTCGAAAACGTACTATCTTAGAAAACTTTTCAAGAGCGCTTTATTTCAGAACGCTCTATCCCGGAATTTGATTGAAGAACTTAGAATTCAGAACTTAGTTCAAAAACGCCCTATCTCAGCAAATTGTCAATGTATTTTCAGCTGAGATAGGGCGTTCTTGAAAAGTTTTCTGAGATAAGACGTTTTCAAAATAGCTGCCAAGATAGGTCGACCTTCCACTCAGGTGTCGATATGCAAATATTGATATCAAAACTTACCGGCACCAGTTCCAACTTTTGTTCAAATGCGAATTTTGGCAGCGCCACTTCTACCTCACGCGCCATGCCTTCTTTCAGCGCATCGTCCAATGAGTCCGGTGTCAGTTTAGCCAAAACGCCATCCAAATTGTGGAAAGGCGGAAGAATCACGATCATCGAGATATCCGATTCCTTCTCGTTGTCATTGGAAGTGACATAGGGCATCTCCAACACATAGGCACCCAGATATTCGTCCAAAGCGAGATTGTAAGTGCCACGCTTATGCATCATATCCACAAATGAATGCTTGCTCTCCGATGTGTAGAAAATGTCTTTCTTTGTGTCTTTGGGATCAAATTTATTCGACCACTGACCCTTAAAGTATGCAGCATTTGCCAAAACTAATTGTGTCTGCGCATCAACATCGCCAGGACTCAACATATCGGGAATTTCATTCTGTGTCACATTACTAATCCAATTGTTGATTTCAATACGACTCTGTTCGGCGTTATTGTGGAAATCAAGCGATGCCAGCTCCTCATGAAAAATATCCTTAACACAGTCCGTAAGCGGAATTTCCTTGTCGAAGTAGATGCGATCGGCGCCAGCGAACTGTAGTGGCATTTTCTTGGCGCGCATCAAGCGACTCTTCTTCTCCAAATTATAGCCGCTGAGCACATGATTCTTATTCTTTGCCCACTGCAAGGACAAAGCTTGCGTCAGCTCCGCCTCTGTCTGGCCGCGTGCACCAAAATACGCCAGCAGGAGAGCGTGGAATGTGCTGTAGGGCGAGAAGAAGACATTCTCGTTGGGTGTAGCCTTATTGATGGCTTGCAGCATCGATACGGTGAAGTTCTGTTGGCCGCGATACAAATCCGAGCGTACGGTGTGTGGCACATCGGCTAGGTCGCGTCCAATTTGGCAGGTTTCTTGAGCGAATATGCAGGGCGTTAGAAAGCACACGAGCAGCGCTAAAAACTCTAAGCTTAACCAAGTCATTGTGTACTTTACTGGCGGAGCGACTGTAACGAAATTGTGAATTGTTTAGAGGTGATTAGTAATACTGATGTTTGAATTGTCAGAATATAAATTTAAATACGGTAAAAATTTACGACAATGCAGCTTTTAGGTGGAACTGGTGAGCTTTTGCTTCCAAGAGCCGAGCCAAACGAAAAAAAAATTAAAAAATTCCCATAACAAATCAAGACTGAGCAAGCGGCCTTGCCGGTGAGGCATCGAACCGCATTTCAATCAGATTTCAAACGACACACGCACTGTGGCCGCATTTACATACAAATGCATATATAGCACATAGATATTTGTGTTATGTTGATTGTTTTTTTTTTGCAATTTAATTCGTCGTTTGCCGAAATTCGCTTTGCCGCAACACCTGAATCAGCCGAGGCACTCAAACCAAATTGAAACGTGATCCGACTGCGAGACGGCTGACCGGTCTTCAACTTGACTCACTTTTGCCAAAACTTCCACAGCAGTGATTCTGCGTAGCGGGCATCGACAACAAAGGTGACTTGCTTACAAATCTAAATTCGCACTAAAAAATTTGTATATTGCGATAGGTATATAAATCTATAGCGTGGCATGTATGTATGTAATGCCAATTAGCGTGTAGGTTTTAAGTGTTTTGTAGATTATGCAGAAAATATGGCTTAAGGTGATTTTTTTTTTAGCGACAAAATGACAGTCTTGTTGCCCAGTAAATATCTAACAAAAAGTAGAAAACTTGCCTTGAAATCCATGTAATCTTTAGGCTTAGGTTTGTTTTAAGTGTTAAAAAATGTTTGATACTTTTAATTTGGAGAACTAAGTACGATTACCATTTAGCAGATTTCGAGTTCGATGTCCGGCTATCACAACATTGAAATACTAAAAAATATTCAGAATGTCTTGTGGTCTTATTTATTACAAAAAATTTTTCAACGACACCATCTGATACATACATACATACAAATGTATTACAGTGAACAGCTTTTTTGAGGAAGGAATATTTCCAACCCAAGACGCAGGACCTATCACGAGAACATATCACGAGTCAGACGCACCGTATATGCCGCCTATTACACAAAAATTTCGATCTTAAAAAAAATAAAAAAATAAAAAACGCGAATAAATATTGGATTCGAAATTTAAATTCTATGTATATCTAATATGAATGTCGTGTAGATGAATATAGCGCTCCTTTACTTTTATACTGTCATAACTCAAAAAACCCAAAAACTCGAGAAAAACGATAATTGGTTTTAATATCTTTAAATATGCTTTTTGCTATAAACATATATTTTATGCATGTAGAAGTAAACTTATTGAGTAAATATTTGTGAAGTGGGCCACCATTTCTTCGAAGATTGAGCTTTTTTTGTGCAATTATCTGTTTGTGCTTCACAACAATAAAAGAAAAATACAAGTTTCACAATTTTTCCAAATTCGATTATTTTGGAAGTTATAGCTATTAACAGTTTTCGTAATTTTTTAGATTTTAATTGTTTTCTCGCTATTAGTAAAACCGATTCTGCTCATATTTTAAACAGTTGAGAATAATGGTGTTTTCTTACCATTTTTATTTTTTATTTGGCCATAATTTTTTTTTACAAAAGTTATTAAATTTTTTTTTTAATTTTCCGACGAATTAATAACCTCATCTTTTTGAAGTCGGTTAAAAATATAAACATTGATATCAATTATTCATTGGGGACTTAGTTCCTATTTATTAAACTGTCGCAATCGGTTCATTCGAAGAATAATACGAAAAAAATAAACAAGTAATTATGCAATTTAGATGAATCATCAAAGTGACATATGCACATATGTATGTACATTAGGGTGATCCAAAAATGCATATGAAAAAGTAAATTCGGAATTTTAATGCTCTCACCCGCTAGGACTATTCTATACCGAAAAAAGTTACCCTTATTTTTTATTCAAAGTATTGCATGTATTTTATATGAGGAAGAAAAAACAATTTTTGGTTGAAAATCAATATTTTCCAATGGGAACTTTGTTTCTCTGCAGGAGACTTTAAATAATAATATTCAAAGATTTTGTTAACCATTTTTAAAAGTAACTATATTTTATAGGTCCGCCAAAAAGCACAGAAAATGCAATAAAAAATCTTTAGTATTAAAAAATGGTAAAATAAATAATTGGGTATTATTATTGGAAGTCTCCTGAAGAGAACCAGAGTTTTCCGATCGAAATATATTGATTTTCAAGAATTCTATACTATTTCTACGTTGGTTTTTTGCCCATATAAAATACATTGACAACTTTGAGCGACCTCTAAATATTTTTTGATTTCAAAATAAACAGATATGTATATATTTTCTTTCGGTATAGAACAATCCTTGGAGATGAGAGCATTAAAATTCCGATTTTACTTTTTGGACTACCCTAATGTATATGTTTATGTGACGTATTTGGATTTAAAGTTGAATGTGAAATTAAATCACTGAATATACGTAGTTGGACAAACTTAATACATACTAAATTAAAGCAATTACAACAAATCACAAAACAACAACAAAATGCGAAAGTTAACTATGAGTAAGAGGTTGTGAAGAAAAAATACTGTTACTCACATAATTGGAGTATGTATTTTTTCACCAACACCCATTAAAAGAGCAAGAAATTGTTCAAGAAATCCAATAAAGTTTTAAAATGAATTGAAAGGTTTCGGCTTAAGTGAATTTTTTTATCGAAATATAAACCAGAGTAATAATAATAATTACATATCGGTATGTATATGTAGCTAATAGGGATGCTAATTTTTTGGCTTTTTACGATCCCGAGATTTTCGGGATGTCGTTATTACAATCCTGGGATCCCGGGATTAGTCCCGGTATTTAGATATTCATTACTTTTCAACAACTAAAATCTGCGTGCTATTTCGGAAATCACCACATTTTCTCATCAGTGGGATTCGATCCAATAACCCCAGCTGACTCATCTTACCATAAAATAAATAATAAATAAATGGGTTTGAAACCTAGTTTTTTATTTAAAGTGGGGTTTTTATTTTTTCTCTCTGACATCAGGATTTATTTTAAAGGACTTTGTAATTTCAAAGATATGATTAATTGCAAAAATTATTTTAAAAATTCAATGCATTTTAGAATAAAAATATGGGTACCAAATAAAAGGAAGGAAGGAAATTTCTTTAGAATTTAAAAAACTTAAAATTTTTTAGATTCACAAGGAGAAATAGGTAATTTTTTAAGCTGATAAAGTTAGAAGGACGAAATTCAAGGATGCTATCGAGTTTAAATAAGTCCTTAAGATATAATTTTTATTAAAAACAAATTTTGCGAAATTTCAAGGAAAAAATTTTAAAAGGACATTTTCAATACTTACCAATACTTCTTTAATTTTCACAATATTTAGCCCATGGTTTCACGAATATATTGCTCCTTGTGTGTAAAATTTACTAAACTAATTTGCTAAACATTTATGAAAAAATATTTCATGGCAAAAACACATTTGGAAATGCGCCATTACCTTCCGAGTGTCGACCGTTGTTAAAAATAACTTTTTCTAGTTTAGATATTGCCCAGACTAGGGATCGAACCCAGGTCCTAGGGAGTCGTAGTACGCTCTTAAACTCAGCCATAGCATGGCTTTGGTCTTGTAAAAATTAGTAAGTTTCGGTTGCATATAAAAAACTCACAATTTATTAATAACATCTCTGGCGAAAACTAAGCTGTGTAGTTTCTCAATTTTAAGTATTATTTGCTTCATTTCTGAAACCTTCTCTCTGGAACAGCAAGCGACAAACAAGCTAAAGTCGACATATGTATTCACAGTAGCCTGGTTATCAGGACAAGTTTAAAGGCATGCGATACCAACACTCCTGTACTCTACCTGTGTGTGTTTGGTCTACACCATGTTAAAACTGACGTCACGATTTTGTAAATTTAACAGCTTAAAACCGGTTGCACTTGCACAAATAATGAATCACAAAAGGCGAATATGTATTAAATATATAAACATGATGCTATGTATGCCCAATGTATTTATTTACTTGTGTAGTGACGTAAAACGTGGGGAAGCGAAGGAAACACGACTTGAAAGTGAGTCTTTCACGGACATACAAAATAGCATATGTCGACCAAAATATATTTTACCGTCAAAGAGAAAAATGTTGCCATTCGAAAGAAATTTTAAATTATTTTATCGCTATTCACAACCGTTAAAAATGTTTCTGTTTGCAACAACTGCATGTTTTCGTTTAAATAAACGGCCTTGCCTTTTTTGTCCGTGAAAGATACACTTAAGTTGTTTTGTCAAATGTCCACAGAAATGATGATAACTATGAGTAAATGTTGTGCAACGCCAGACATGACAAGAGTATGCAATAAAGCTCCATTTCACCATATCGAGCCATAACCGCCAAAATAACATACGCGAAATTTTTTTCAAAATATTCTTTTTGGTGCAGAAATGCATCCAGATGCTGTAGAAATATTTCTGCATCAAAAAGAAAATTTTGAAAAAAATGTCGTTTACGTTATTATGGCGGTTAGGGCTCGATATGTCTCAAAGTGAAAGACGTGATATTAAAAACAAGTAAAAAGGTCTAAGTTCGGGCGGAGCGAAGATTAAAAACCCGGCGCAAGTTTTAAATACAGCTTTTTCACGTTTCCGAAAACTACCGCTACATGGTAGGCAGGAGTGGTTTTACCCCTATTTCAAACATCATCGATAGAACGTTCAGTTAGACATAATGAGATAAACTTATATAGATATATGTGGGCGGTACCACGCCCATTTTCCAAAATTCTATGAGAAGTTTATTTCTTTTCAAGGAATTGTAGTTTATTATTTTGAGTAAATTAGCGTTCTTAAATTTCGAAATATCGAAGTTTCAAGCATTTCTGAAATTTACCGTTATATGAAAAGTTTGCGTAATTTTAGTCCGATTTTAGTAATTTTCCACGTTTTGCTTTTGTGTGGCAAGCACAATAATCATACAAATAAAGATATGTGGTCACAAGTGGCCGTTGCCACAGCC